GCGCCCGGGGCCGCGCAGCCTGCGGAGATGGGGTGGGAGTCAGTCTCCAGGCTGCGGGAATGGGCTTCCGTCCTGGAGGGAAACCCCGCCGCTACCAGAGTTCCAGGGTGGGGGTGAAGGTGCGGGAGGTCACCGCGGTCGCTTAGCGAAGTTCGCGAGGGGCAGGCCGAGGAGGGGGTGGGGGCACGAAGTGGAACTAGCCACGGGGATGCGGGAGGCAGCAGGCTGAGGGCATCCGGCGAGAGGAGAGGGAGGAAGGCGGGCCAGGCCGGGGGAGGCAAGCTGCAGGGTCAGGACGTCTGGCGCGGAGCCGTGGAGGCTTCCCGGAGGCTCCGATGGAGCCGGCTTGCAGGTCGGGGCCGGCACCAGAGGTGGTGAGTGTAACAGGACCCCGATCGGACCCTTCTCTAGACTTGGGGGTCGTGTCGGGCACTCTCGGCTACTCTCTTTTAGTGACATGCTCTCCCTCCCGCATCCGCCCCTCCCCCCCAGCACAGAAGGGAGGTAGTGGGTGTGCGGAGGGCAAGGAAAGGCGGAGTTCGAGCCCGGGGCCCTGGCGACCCCAAGGCTCTTCAGCTCCTTGCGCCCTCTCGGGAAGGGACGGACTCGGAGCGGAGCGTGATTACCCGGGGAGCCCGAGCCTCGCCTCCCAGCACCTTCCACGCCCGCCTCGCCCTAGCTCACTGTTTTACAGCCTCCGGCTCAGGCCTTTTGTCTCCTTTCTGTCGCGACTGCCCCGCCTACAGCGAAAGGACTAATGGGTCGCTCAGTTCTAGACCGCCCGGCCCTTCCCCTCGGCGCCGGCAGCCGGGAGCCTGGGAACCAACAGAGGGGAGGTGAGCAGCGGGAGGTGCAGGACCCCGAACGTGGGCGGAGGGCAGGGGGCAGATTGGGGTGGCGGCCGGGATGCACAAAGGTGGGGCCCGGGACCTTGGAGGAGAGAGATGGGGAGAAGGCCAAGCCCCAGGGCGCGACCTGGCCGGCGCTGTACCTTCCGAGCGCTGCAGAGCGAGCCCGTCTAGTCCGCGGAAAGCGTTGCTAGTCAGCTCCTCCAGCGCGCACAGCGGCGACGTGGGACCTGGGCTGGACTCTGGAAGCTGTGGCGCAGAGGGTCCTCGAGGGGCCATGCCAGGGCCTAGGATATCCGCGATGCTGAAGGGTGTGCGGGCTGTCCGGGGCTCGGGGTCCGAGCTCATGGCCGGCCGGCC